GACCAACGGACGGACAGACGGACGGACGGACAGACTGACGGACATGGCTAAATCGACTCGGCTATTGACGCTGATCAAGAATATATATACTTTATGGGGTCGGAGATGCTTCCTTCTGCCTCTTACATACATTTGCACAAATACATAATACCCTTTTTACCCATTTTTAATGGGTTCAGGGTATAAAAACGTATTTTGCAAAAAGTTTTTGAATTTTCAATGCAACTTACATTTTTACTGCTTGTTTTACTGAACATATTTATAATTGATAATTTCTTTTTAAGAACATGACAAAAGTTAACCGTAATGTATCCAAGATAAATAAAAATTAGATACATAGATTTTTTCACATTCATAAAAAATCGTTTTAGTTTTAGATGTTGCTAATAGCGGAGCTTTTACGGAAAATGTCAATTTGTTGAATTTTATGTATGCACGGGTTAATATCTTCCCTCATGCTACATAAGAGACATCACTGTATTATGTGGATATACACATTATGGCATGTAAGGCTCTTACCTACATTCATACAGTGCTTTTATTACCTTGTGTATTTGTGATTACTCTACACACAGGCACACACACACGCACACAAGGGAGAAAACAACAAGGCACATTTGAGTGAGACAGCAACATTTATTTGTTTTCTATTGGCAGACCTATGAGAATGCTTTCAGACACCCATACCAGTGCATTTGCTCACGAACTTGTCGACATTGCTGTTATTTGTTGGTAAGTTACATGAGAATACGTAGGTAAGTATGGTGCAGCACATGGTATTTAAGAGAGAGTATACGCCAGAATTGCTGTATTGCAAATGAGTGTATGTACGTACATTGATATGGATATATAAATATATATATGTGTGGGTGTGTATTTATATACACACATATTATTACGTATCTACGTACTCAAACGCATTTGTAGCCCACAAAAACAATACAGTCAATTAGATTCATACAACATTTGTTCACGCATATACAAACATCCAAAAGTTGTACAAATTAAAACATTCAAATATATATAACGGAAGCTGGCAGCTCCCCTTATTATGCTCCGTTTAAAAGTGCAATACCAGCATACAACAGGTAAATAACTCGGCAGGCCAACGATTTAATTCCCTTCTAAACATACAGCTTTGAAGTTATTTTATATATAATCAAGAAGTCCTCCTTGATACGGTTTTGCATACTTAGCAGAAAAGCGAACTTCTTAATTGAATATGGTGTGAAGATACATTTCATTGCAAAAAAGGAACTATAGAACTATCAACTATTGATAAGATTATGCTTATATGGTAGGAGTATAGTGAAGTTCCTAAAAATGTTAAGCTTTATAGCTATATGATATAGTGAACCGTTTCGGCCGGCTCCGACGTGTATAATAAAAAGCTTTATTTGTGATCCTAAAATATTATCAAAATGTTATGAACACAAGAGTACTATATCAACGTTGTATGAATAAGTATAGATATATGTCACATATTCTTATAGGTATATGATTTAAAAGATGTGAAGTTTACTTCCAATTTAGAGTGCTACACCTTGACAAAAGGCAAATTCAACGTAAACTTAATGTGATGGGGGCCAAAACCGGTTTCAAAGATAATGGGTCGATGTTTTCGACTTGGGTCCAGTACCAAATGTGTTAATGTGTTTTTAATGAGGAACTTTGGTGTACTTGGTATTCCAATTTTATCTTACTCGCGCTATCAATTTGCGGCAACGACAACGACCCGTTTGTCTTTTTACTTTGCGCTTAGGAAACAACCCCCTAGCACGTAGGCCAAACGGTCCAAAACTAACCCGCGCTGGGAGGCGGCAATGCAGATTTTGTTACACTTACATTAGATAATCTTTGGCCCATCATGCTTGGGCCATTCTGTTCAGCAAATCTGGTAGATAAACATCACATTAGCGTGATTTCAAGCCGATTAGCCTTTGCCCTGCATTCCCGCAACGCGCTGATGTTGCGCACTCATCATCCATGGATATGCTGCCTCATTCAAATTTTCGTTCTTAGAGAGTGGGTTGAATACCTCAACGACAATACGAAGGATTACAACGAGCTCGGACTCAATGAAACGTAACTTTTATCTTGGTGGGAGCGCTATGAATAATCGTTAAAGGTACGAAACATTAAACGCGTTTTTAGTCTTTGCAATGTTACTCAGATCACGAATGGCTCATGGCAAGACTATAATATGTCATTCATATGAGTAAAATTAAAAAGTTATTCACCCAAAAAGTGGGTGCTGAACATAGATTTTTTTTAAAACGCTTTATCTGCTAGTTAAACCCACATTTCAAATGTATGTTGCTTAGGTGTTATAATCATCGACTTTGATGCATTCATTCAGAAAACAGAACTAAATACGATTCATGTTGATTATGAATAAGAATAAATATTCTTCAAGATGTCCTGTTTTCCATTAAACAAAACTTATCCATCATTTTGAAATTCCCATCAATTGCTGGTAATGGTAGATAATTTCAATATTCAATTTGGGCCAACCAAAAATAAAATTTTGAGTTTAAATAATTGTAAGTTTACAAGGGATCTAATTTTCCAGGTGCAGGGCAATATATATAAATCCGTAACTTATCTGAGATAGGCACCCTGTGGAATCTAAAGCTTTTAAGTTACAAGCAGGGGAGCAGCAGAGAAAGAGGAATAATTGCTCCGGTCGTCAGTTGTCGGCAGAGCAATGGACAGGGCGAATAAAAGAATGAGGAAAACGTGAAAACGGAAAGAAAAGCTTATTGTTCAAAGCTTGAATGCCAAAGCATAGCACAAAAGCGATTCAAAAGAAAATTTAAGCATGGCACAAAAAAAAGCTGAAAGAGGATTCTGAGGAGCAGAATGGAATAGAATGCACACCGAGACCACACATACACATACACACACACACACGTACACAATGGAGAAAAGCGGAAAATAAAGGAAAACAGAATAATACAACTTTGTGTTGGCACAAAAGCAGGGAAATGCAAAATGAATGTAATGAATAGAAAACAGCAAAATGAAATATGTAATAAAAGCAGAGAAGAAAAGGCATTCATAAACACACAAACATTTGTACATATGCACATATATGTAAAAACATACACACGTACATCATTTACTCCACCCAGAATCGAAAGATAAAACGTGAAAGCCAGTCGAAGCCAAAGGACTCTGGCATATCCCAAATGTCCTAATAGACCACGTACGCTTATACAATTGGGAAGACATTTTAAGAGTTAGGAGCTCTGGTAACCAATTAATATAAAATATAAATAAAAATTTTATGGAGTAGAACATTTAAAAAAATAAAAAAGATAATTATAATTTCCTAACTCTCATGGTTGTTGGCTGTCCGTCTATCCCCAATAAGACAGCTAGCACAAACCAGCTAATACATATAGTAGATTATATATTATAAATATGTGTCGAAAATAAAATTCTTGAATGAATCCATTTTAGTTTTATGATTTAAGCACCTAAACTCGGGTAAATCTCATCAGATTTGCACGAGTTTTGGCTCTTTGTTCGTTGCTTGACCTCTAGATCAATTTTTTATCTAAATCTGGCAACATAAAACATCTGACAAATAAATAAATGGGAAATTCCACCCACAACAGTGGTTAACTAGTTAAAAACGATTGTAAGTAAGTTTTTTGCTTACCACTCGATCGGCTTCAAAAACGTTTTCAAAGATCTTTGTCAAAATTCATTTGGTGTTTGTTTCGCAGTTTTTGGAGTTTTTCCACCTCCTTGGTGGATATGTTGGTCAAATATTTGGTGGGTGACGTTTTGCGTTCAAATTCATTTCTATACACACACACACACACTTTTCGCAGAAGCCAAAGATTGCTTGGGCGAAGTAGAAAAGATTGCTTGGGTAAAGTTTTAAGTTTGCATATATACATATGTATATCTCTGTTTGTACCTACACGTATGCATGTTTGTTTTGTACACTATATGCAATCATGCATACATGTATACATATATGTATGAATGTATACATACATACATACATACATACATACATGCATACATACATACATACATACATACATACATACATACGTACACACATACATACATACGTACACACATACATACATACGTACACACATACATACATACGTACACACATACATACATACGTACACACATACATACATACATACGTACACACATACATACATACATACGTACACACATACATACATACATACGTACACACATGCATACATACATACATACAAAAAAACACCAAAACAAGCACCAAAAAAACACAAAAAAAAACACAAAAAAAAAACACCAAAAAAAGGCCGAAAAAAAACCAAAAAAAAAGGCAAAAAAAAAAAGCTACACTACTAGCTAAGCATGAAAGACTGCAGAGCCAACTTGAATTCTTGAGAATCGAGGAGTAGAGCACTTGATAATAGTTCGTTTTATTTCAATTTGCAGCACAGCGAAAAATAAGCTTGGTCTGCGTTTGGTATTAGAAAACAGACATGCACGCATACATACATACATAAATGAACACATACATGCATGCGTACACTAGCACACGCACGCCCACACCCACACACACACATATACACACACACATTATTATATCCCTTCGTACAAATTGCTTGTATAATATATAATTTATTATTATTATAATTATTATTATTATTATTATACATACATAAATGCATACACACCTGCATGCGTACACTAACACACGCACGCACACACCCACACACACACATATACACACACACATTATTATATCCCTTCGTACAAATTGCTTGTCTAATATATAATTTTTAAATATAAAAAAAACATTTTTAAATCAAACCCATATTTTTTTGGGTTTGCTTTCGAATCGAATTCGTTTAAAACACGTTTTGCATCCTTTGTTGAAAAGTCATAGATGACATTTTGGAAAATATGCACATGGATGAGAAATGGGTGGAAAACTTGTTCTGGACAACGCCAAAAAATATTTGCTAGATTGTTACCTGGTTGATCAATCTACTTCGGATGAGCTGCAGATGTTGAATCATTTCGGAGACAGTCCGATCCTTCCCATACGTTCGCTGTGATTGTGCTCTTGCAGTCAACGCGCTGTTCTCTCTGGAATGAAACCAATCAAAATAAACCATAAAATGTTGGTTTATTACGACAAAATCAATTATTATTTGGTTAAAATTGCCAAATGAGATAAGTTTTCTGCAGAATAGAATATTTCAAAATTTATTTGGGTTTAACGAGAGTGACTGCTTGCTTTTGAAACTGCTATATGTATGTATGTGTGTCTGTGAGGGCATTTATACTCCCGACTAGGCCCTCTTACTTTTTTTTTTACATTTTTGGCGATTTCAGTAAAGCAAGCCACGGAAAAATTATGCCGATTCTACGGTCATATCACAGCTTCTCTGATTATTTGATTACACTCAACTTCCTTTTTGAAAATTGCCGAATCTAATCTCATTAAAATTACACACCAACATAAAACTAGCAAATAATTTTGTGGCAAAGAAGCCTAGCGCTAAATCAATGTACATTGGTTCAATTCTTTTGGTCTGATGTTAATATTTCTTGTTCGCTCATTGGATGCAACAACTTAGCAGTAAACATTTCTCACCCTGGATCTTTACTTTTGTCTAATTAGCTGACATCGAGTTTTTGTGTTTGATGACTGCAGAATTATGTATTCACATTTTCTTTTGAAATTGTTCAACATTTTTTAGTTTCCCCCAGACAAAAATTATAAAGAATACATTGCAGAAATAATATTGTAAAAAAGTAATGTTTTTTTTGTTACTGTTCAAGCAATAAATATAGTTTCACAATTTTGACTTGAGAAGAGTGGAACGCCGGGTATTTAAACTTATATCTTTGGATTTATATTTTAAGCTTACACACATTAAAGCACTATGCGCTATTCGCATGTCCGCCGTGACATCCGATTGCCCGCCGGCGACCCACTTGGGTCGTTGTTCAAATTTTGCTAGTTTCACCGGTAGACTGTTTCTGAATAATTGAATGCTACAAACGGAAATTGCGAATATAGTTAAGGCAGCAAATTACGACCACTAAACATCAATATCTACGCGAACCCAATTTGATTGGGTTGAATGGACACAAACTTGAGCCTGGACATTTTAAACCGCCAACAGAATTTGGTAACGCGGTAGGAAACAGTTAATAAGTTTGTGGCCGCCGGAACAGGTTTACTATTGGATCCTACAATTATACTTTGCCGCTATCAACCTGTCCTGACGGATTCGCCGAAAAGTGTTTACTTTGAATAAAATTAGGAGTTTATAATGAGTGGATCTTTTATGGGTCAAATGAAATTTCGCTTTGATTGCAGAAATTCTTGCATCTCAATATATGTACTTATATTCTTTTAAGCTCACCTTGTCGACTTCAGCAACGGCCCGTCCTCTGAAACGCTTTGTTTGCCAAAAGTGTCAGATACCGGGGGAGGAACAATTAATGGCGGAAGCTCTGTTCGACTGGGTAAATAATGTTCTCCGTCAAAATTCTTAATAGTAGAAGCTGAATTTCGACAAGGTATATAGAAAATGCGTTGCTCTTTGCCGATGACATCTTGCTCCATAAGTTCGTCTTCCGTGACGATAGCACTTAGCTTAGGTGGTGAAGTTTCCAGTTTATCATTAAGTTCCTGTTTTATCACTGTACTGTATTCGCTCTTAAAAAGAGTGAGATTCGCATCCTCAACGTCGTCTTCGTTAAACTGTGTTGTGTTAACAAAACGTTGGATCGCTTCTCCATCGGAGCAATTAACCGGATATGGCCCCAAAGCATCAGCGTTTATGGGGTTTTGCTCCTGTACTCCTGGATTGCCAGATATCCTAATCTGTTGGACTCGCGCCATCTTTGAAGTTCCATTAGGTAGACGTAACTTAGACGTTTTTTTAATACGCTTCTTTGTAGATGACGCCGTTGTTAAAAAATGATGGGAAGACTGCAACCAACAAGAAATTAGTCAGAACCAAAATGTAACTACGATTTAACTACTTATGTGTGGCACTTACATGACTCACATTGTCAATATCCGACTCGTCGGTACTGGCATTGGAGGTAGCTCTTGGGCTAATGCTCCTTATGTCAATATCCAAATCAGTGTGCTCACCATCGCTTTCCAAAACTGCGCACAGGCCACGTCCTAAGCCCATTCGCATATAATCCTCACCCTTGCCTTCGCCCTCGCCCTCACCCTCACCCTCACCCTCACCCTCGCCATCAGCAACCACTACTGCTGCAACTTCCGAATTACAAATCAAGTCGCACTCGGTGCTACTCTTCACATTACAGCTCACGACCTCGTTATCATTATAGTTATTGTTATTATTGAGAATCTGTTTTTGCATTTTACCAGCCGGGACTGCAATATCGTTCAGATTAAATTGGAATTGTCGTCCAGTCTCTGCTGAAGCTCCTTCTAATCCTTGTGAGCTATTTGAGTCGGCATCAAATTTGTTTGGTGTCGATTTGCGTTTTCCCGACATGCTGAAAAAATATTCAGTATATTTATTAGCAAAATAAATTTGAATAAGGATTATTGTGTGCTTTTTTTACTTTAATAAAATTTTTTTTTTTAAAATGTAGTTGGAGCTTGGATAAAATAAGGTCGGATCATTAAAATTGTTTTTCAGTTTTAATTCGACTTAGTGAAAGCTTTCTGAGTTTTTTTAATTTAGATTATCCCAAAGTTAGATGCACGGGTCTTATAGACTCCGAGACCGAATGAATCCATTTGTTTTTCAAAGCCTTTTTCTAAGCCTGAATAGGTTATTTTTACGGTTTTTAAAAAATTTTGACTGGGAGCTTAAACAACCTCTTAAAATGTTCATGGTTAGAGGGTATAAGAACAAAAATAAAAGTTCTGCCTGTTCGGGTCGTTCTTTCCGGAGTATACATATCATACGAGCATATTTATATTTAGCAAAATCTTTCGGCATCGACTTCCGCTTATGCGTTTCAGGGAGCTCCTCCACCTCCGCCGCCACCTCCGCCTTCGCCTCACTGTATCTCTTGCCAGATCTTGATATTGCGGCCTTAGCAGCCTTTGGCACGTAGATGTGTGACAGCAAATCTTTTGTGGTGCAGTGGGCACTGTGGCTGACTCCGACTTTCATTCAGGCAATGTGGAAATAAACCAAGTTATATTTATATATGTATTTTTGTTATTTTTTTTAAATAAAATTAAAAAAAGTTACAGCAAAACTTCACGCATCATATTTATGAAAACACTTGAATGCTCCCAAAGGAAAGTAACGGCAAAGGCAATTTATTTAGATCTAGCTGATATTACCCAACATTGGCCGTGCCAGGATGAGTGGGTATATTCTGGGTAGGGAGTATTTTTTTTAATGGATCTTGTTGAAATAAAAATTGGTTTTTACAAATTTGTGTTCTCTACAGCAAGCATGTTAAACGGGTCTAAAACGAACGGACAAGGCCGGGCAATACCCGCTAGTATATCTATATAAATAGGTTCTCATCAAGACGTGATGTTGTTTTGAACCGTGAACCGAACTAGCGAAAATTTGTTTGGACCAGCAGTTTTTCCTTACAGGTAACTTGAAGTAAAATAGCTAGGAATCTAGCTCTGAATGAGTACAAATTGATTTTCTTTATTTTCTTATTTCTTTCTCTATTCGGGCAGGGTACGTCAGTATAATCCCCATTCGTTATTCATCTTATCTGCAGAGAGCTCCGGCCAAGATGCAGAGACATAGTACATTACAGCAGCGACAGTTTGCGATGTAAAAACAACAAATGATTGTTTTTCCGATTTGCTTTGAACTGAAAATTTTATTTATAATGATGACTTCCGTTACTCTGCGACACGTATGAGTAGATGCGACAGCAACATAGGCATAAAAACACATGCACACATATACACACTCATCAATTCAAATATTGACTTGTACACTTGCGAATAGCTTCCGCAAGTTGGCTTCAATGGGTTCCTTTTCGTCGGTTTCGGTTATGTTTTCTTGTTTTAACAATACATACACATATGTATGCAAAGCTTATGCGGGAAATACCCAGCTGAACATTTTGTATGTTATATGCTTCAACAGCTGAACCAGCAGCAATTTTATCTCAATAAATACAAAGGCGGCGGAGTTATATATATAATGATATGACCCCCAATTCCATATTCCATGTTCCATTTTCAATGGGTTTAGGGTTTAATTCATTTAGTAAGTAGATGCTTAAACAAAAACTTGGAGTCATGGAGAAAATCAGTTGCATGAACCGAGTCAAAGAAACTATTGGTTCGAACCATGAACTGAACCATCCAACATTTGTATTGGGCTTGCAGCCATCATGTGTACATGTATGTGATTATATATGTACATATACATTTGGGTAAAACTTGCATTTGAATATTTTACAGTATAGGGCCGATAATACGAAATAAATAAATAAATAAATTAGTTACGGGAAGTGCTTAGGCACACATACACATACCCACAGGCCCACAGGCCCACGCAAATAAACAGAACGCCAGTCACCCCCGACATATCGTAACCATCGCCGGTTGTCACAGTTGTATTCGTATACCCAGGGAGCTTAAGTATGGGTTAAGTTCTTGTGGAAATGCCAGTGTATTCAATAGTTAGCTAAACGAAACAGAAACATTCTTCGTATATTTGTATGTTTGTATGTGGGGGCACAGAGAGACAGGCAGGGGCAACACTTGGGCGCTTGTTTGTGTTCATTTCAGATGATTTTCATTATTTGCCGTTTCTTGTGCCATTTATCATCCGATGTCGAAGCAAGTGCCTACAATTTGTCCGTAATACTTGTAAAAAAACAAAAAAACCACCAACCCAATTGGAGATGGGGATGACTTTTCACCGCCACGCGCCAGCACTGAGGGAGAAATCGACACTAGAAGAATCATCAGTTCATAGCCCAAATGAAAGGGGAGTTCGGCCTGAGACGTTACTACCGAAACACTCTTCCACCCCTTGCCCTTGCCCTGGCCACAAATTTCAAACTAATATTCCCACTAAGTATGAAATACAAACATATATTCATAGCCTCTGTATGGAAGTGTAAGTATATGTGCAAATACAAACGATTTTGTGTGTGATTCTGTGGTGGTAAGAGGACTAAGGTAAATAAAATAAATATTATTCTTCCTTTTTAAGCACCGCAAAAAAACAGCATTGGCAAACAAGATGAACAACACATAAAAAAGAAACACACAAAAATGCCTGGCGCAATAATGAATTTTCAATTGAAAACCTCGCCCGCGTCGTCCTTCAGAGCCATGGCCAGGACCAGGACCACGACCAGGACCAGGACCACGTCCAGACCCAATTCCATCGACTGTTGGCATTGTTTACGAGCCCTCGGCAGTAGCCTTCATGTCTTTGCGCACGTGCTGGCATTAAAAATGAATTTGGTTAGCCAAAGGACCGCCGGCGGTGGAATGAATCTAATGGGGTCTACTTATTTGAGAAGGCCGATTACCACTTTGCAAATTACCAAGGCGAGGGCGAACCCACGACCCCATGACGAACGGTGAATGAAACTCAAGCTTATTCTTGGTTTAAAAGACTACGTATCAATAATGTACTCACACATTTACTAAACTGATATGTCTTCGATATATATATGTATATATATATATTATTTCTATTAAAAGTATAGGGTATGGTTGGAATCTGTCAACGTATTGTTTCAAATAACATAAGTCTACGGCCTTCGGCTAACAGAATACTATATCCATGCATTCTCCTTGTTCAAACATATGCAAATAAAAGTATATATTATGCTATTTGGCGGTCTTTCTATTCAAACATATGTACCATATTACACTTATTATTTTTCTAAGCTCTAAACACGGACATTTTCTAAGATGAATCCAGAGATATTGAGTGCTATTAAATTGATTAAGTACGATATTATTATATGAACAAATATACCCAATATTGTTAAAAATTAGTTTAAAAACCTACTAATCTGAGGTTTGTCAGGTCAGAGTGTGCCGATCTAGCCATGTTCGTCTATCTATCCCTCTCTATAAATTAGTATATATTATAAACTTAGGAGCTAGTGGCTTAAAATTCGAAACATACATTTGTATATCATATGTACAATAAATGTATCTTTTAGAGTCTAGTTTATAGGCATATCTCGGATTAATGCATTTTGTTCCTCCAGTATTAACTATTATATTATATTCCTCCGTATTAACTACTTGCTAACGGTTTCATTAATTTGCATATATAGATGTTTGATTATTTAGACGCATGTATAATTCGACTTTGTATGGATGAAGTCTACATCCAATGAATGTACTGGCACTTTTAAAGGTATAGTACTTGCAAATCGCAGTTCAAAGGAAGCTTTTGTATTTGTGGTCTGTCATTGTTGTTGTTGTTGGGTTTTGTCTCTTTGTTGATGGTGCACTTGTTTGGTCAAAAGGGCGCAAACAAAAGGTCGGCTGGTCCGCGGTCGCAGGACATCAGCCAGCCTCAGTTAGCAGCCCGCCCGATTGTACCATCTGGGGTCATCCACTCCGCAACGCACCAAGTCAGGGCTGGTCCATTATTTATGCCTGTTTATGTTTGTTCATTTTTGCATTACACTTGCCACAACTCGAATGGGTTGACAATGCAATGAAAGACGCTCAGTTGCCCTTTAATGCTGGCATTAAACACATACATTTCTATATGTGAATACGTAAATACATATCCGATACACATGCATACACATACATATTTCTGTTTGCACTATGAACGTGGGGTCATTGTTGTGGCAGTCTTTTGATTTCTCAAATTTCATGTGACCCCAAAAAAAACCCACCCAGCCATAATTGTCGCCGCACATCCCCAAATTATTATTGGTTTCTGTTTTCTGTATTCCTGAGCGATGCAAAGAAAAACACTTCGAATACAGATTTACCCGGAGTTGCCCTGTTCTTTGCCACGGAATGTGACACCGTACAACATCGTTAAGCCTACAAAACTGACTTCATTGATGCTAAAAATGTTCATTGCAATTTGTTAATTTTACGTTTTCCCTATTGGTTTTCATATTCGGTGAAATATTTAAACTCACCTCTCTTGCTAACAGCTATGTACATATGTTCGTCATTTGGGCATAACAAATTATCGTTTTGTGGCATAGTGTAATCGTCCCTGTTCAGACAAACATTTGCCAGGGCGATTATTACACTTGTCGCGCTCTATTGGTTTGGTATTGATGGGGCATTAAGGAACATTAGCGTGGGGCTTGTATTGTGTCTACTTAGTGGCAGACGAAAGGTCATTGACAAATCTGCACTGTAATGTTATTGCCGATGATTTTTGTAGGGTTTACGCCTTGTCACTTTAACTCTTAGCCCTCCCCAGCATCTGACACTTTAACGGTGGACGGTGTGACTTAAAAAAGTATCATATTGATTTTTGTTTTAGCCTACGAGAAAGTGAGCGCTCTTTCTTCTAAGACTAATCCTCTTAACGGCACATAATGGCCGCCTC